CCATCTAGCTCAGAAGCAACAAAGCTCACATGGAAGAAGCACACCAGCCTGCGTGATCACAAGGTGTCGAAGGGATCAGGTATCTGGCATCATCAGAACAAAAAATCATATCAGTGAATGAGGGTGTGTGTGCAGAGTGGAGACCCAAAGCCCATTTGTAGGCTACTGGACATTTTCTTACAGCAGGGTCTCGGGGAGATGAGCCAGTCAGGGTGTGACGTAGCAATGATGAAACATACAACTTTCCTCTAGTTCCTAAATGCTTCCTCCCCCACTACCTTACAAATCTGGCTGGACCAGAGGATGTACACTGGTTCAGATAGGAACTGGAAACACAGGGAATCCAGGACGGATAAACCCCTCAGCCAATAATGAGAGTAGCAATACCAGGAGAGTGGGGGAAAGTGGGAGAAAAACGAGGGAACCAATCACAATGATCTACATATAACACCCTCCCTGGGGTACGGACAACAGAAAAGTGGGTGGAGGAAGATATCGGACAGTGTAAGACATGAAAAAATAAAAATAATTTATAAGTTATCAAGGATTCCTGAGGGAGGGAGGGAAGGGAAAAATGAGGAGCTGATACCAAGGACTCAAGTAGAAAGAAAATGTTTGAGAATGATGATGGGAACAAATGTACAAATATGCTTGACACAATGGATGGATGGATGAATTGTGATAAGAGTTGTATGAGCCCACAATAAAATGATTCATAAAAAAAAGGAAAAGAAAAGATTTACGGTCTTGGAACCCCCCAACTCATAGCCTGTCCTACGAGTTGGAATCGCTCAATGGCAGTGAGTCTGGGTGGGAAGAAGTGGGAGCCCTGCCTAGCCTGGGAGTGGAGGGGTCCGAGAAGGCTTGTCCGGGGAAGCAATGTCCCACGAGAGGGTGAGGGGAAAGGAAGGGCATCAGGTGTATCTGGTCGGGCGGACGCACGGTTCCCTCCTTATCCAAACGTTCAACATTTTGTTCATCGTGGGCCTCTTGCATTACTTTAATTTCATACAAACATTGCACTAAAGTAGGAGTTATCGTGATGACAGGAGTTAGGTGGCGCCCCTACCGTTCCACGCGCGAGGCGGGGGTCCGGCCTCAGTGGCGTGCTGGCCCCCCTGGCATCATGTCGAGGGTCCCGGCTCTGTTCTCTGGTCGTGGACAGACATCTCCCCTACCCCCACCCTGTCTCCTCACATCCGTACGGTAGGAGAGCGGGCGAGAAAAGGCAACCTCAAAGGGCTAATATTCTCCCTGACGGAACTGGGCGGATTCTGGCCGGGGAAAACGGTGACGAGGGCCGCGCAGGGAGTCCATTTTCCGGGACGGACTCTGCAGTTATTACCGGAACTAGGCTCCTGATTGGCTGAGACGAAATCCGGCTCCGCCTGTAGGCCACGCCATCAAAAGGGGCGAGCGTGTGCGTCATCCGCGAGCGACGAGAGCTTCCTAAAAGGGAAGCGACTAAAATAAGACCCTTCCTAATTGGCTTTCTCCATTGGAGAGAGGACCACAATTGGGTAAGAATCTGTGACGTCACGCACGGCCCGGAAGTCCTGAGAGGCGGCGCTTCAGCGGCGGGAGGCGGACCCGAGGGCGGGATTTATTCAGGGAGGAGCCGAAACGCGGCGCTTTCCCAGCGCGCGGAAGGCGGGGCTTGGGTGGGGGCGCGCCCGTGGGCGGGGTCTGGGCAGGCTGGGGGCGGGGCCGGCGCCGGCGCGCGCCGCGAGGCGGCCTCCGCGGTCAGATTGACTTCCAGGGTGCACTTCCCCGCCATGGCTCCGCGCTGCTGGAGACACTGGCCGGCGTGGCTTCGCACCCGACCGCCTCTCGCCAGGAACCTCCTGAGTAAGACCAGGGCATCTTCGGGCTGACAGGGAGCTCAGGGAGGCCTGCTCAGTGGTGAGGTCGAGGCAGATCGGGGGGCAAGCCTGGGGCCGGGGGAGAGACCGGAGGGCGAGAGGGGGGCGGGGGGCGGGAGCAGGTGGAGGTTCACGAGGCGAGGTGGGAGGCCGCGAGCGGAGAGGGACCACAGGTGGGAGGTAGGGGTGACAGAGAGGGCTGAAGGGAGGCAGGGGTCATGCGGGACGACGTGGACCAGGTCGGGTTCAGTGGAGAGAGAGGTTAGGAAAGTTAAGAAAGTTAAGGCAATGTGGGAGACCCCTCAGATGAGGTTGGGGTGATTTGGGGTTCCCCTGAAGAGATGTTGCTGGTGGTGTGTGTGGTTGAATTGATTCCGACACAAAATGTCCCTGGGGGATGCAGTAGGACTGCCCCATGGGGCTCCCAAGGCTTAGGGAGCAGACTGCCCCACCTTCCTTGTGCGGAGGACAGAGTACTTTAACCATTGAGCTACCAGGGCGCATGTGCTACCCAGGGAGGAAGAAACCCCATGAGAAAATGATCAACTACTGTCCGTGGAAGCTCCAGGGGTGGTGAGGGCTGTCGGGTAGACCCTGACCAGTGGCGTGGTGAGTCCCTGCGAGAGGTTGGGGACTCTGGGTAAAGATGCAGCCCTGGCGAATGGAGCAGATACAGTAAGGAGCCCGAGGCCAAAGCCTAGGGGACAGGAGGAGGGGGGTGCAGGTGAGGGAGACATTTGGAGAGCCCCCCTTTCTGGCGGACGCGGAAGTTGGTTTGGGTTTGAAGAGACAGTTGATCCAACCTTTGCCCACCTCCCCAGGCTCTCGGCGGCCGTTCTCCACACAAGAGCGGATCCCCCAGATCTGTGTGGTGGGCAGTGGCCCTGCTGGCTTCTATACAGCGCAGCATCTGCTCAAGGTAAACTGCCTGTGGGTGGGCCTACATGTGGGGCGCTCCACTTGAGCCTCTACCTTGGGGGAGCGTGTTTGCATCATGGCAGGGTCAGCCGTCAGGGGTTGGTAGTGACTGGTGGGCTCCTTGGCCATGTGCTCTGGGGAGCTGAAACAGGCTACAGGAGCACTTCCTCAGCCCCCATCTCCTGTCCCCCTCCCGTGTCTCTTCTCTGCCCCTGGCACCCTCATCTTGGCTGCTCTCCCTTCCCAAGCTCTTAGCCCCCTTGCTTTGTGCTGTTTCTGCCTGCTTCCCCACTTTTCTGCCTGCTCCCCACACCAAGGCCAAGGTCTCCGCATTCCAGTCGTGGCTTTGCCAGGAAGGGCCCCAAGGTTCCTGGTTGTCCTTGAGACTCCACGTCAGACCTCAGGGAGGGGACACCTCAGCTGATCGAGACACGAAGCAATGGCCCTGCTTTGGAGAGGCTCTTCCTGTCCGTGGAGAGACAGGAGAGAGGGTGAATAAACTGATTCGACACTTAAAAGTAGGGTGGCTACTATTGGTGTGCCCAGGACTCTGGGGTTTCTGGGACCTTTAGTACTAAACCTGGGGCGTCTGGGTGACCAATGCGCCGAAAAGTGAGCAGAGCACCTTTTAAGCAGTGGATGTGTTACTTTGGGGGCCATCCAGGTGATAACTCAGACCGACCCTGTGTGATGGCCATCTCTCCGGGTGCAGATGGCCAGGCCTTTGTCCTGCAGAGCAAGGACAGCCAATCACCTGAAGAGCGCACAGATAGGGCTCTGTACGCGGTGGGTCAGAGAGCACGCTGCAGTGACGAGAGCACAGGGAGCCAGTCCAGGAAGTCCACCAGACTGCTTCCTGGAGGCCAGGAGCTGTGCTGTAATGCATGGCCTTGGAAGGAATGCGAGGCCACAGGTGATTGGCTGAGGGGGAGGAGAGCCTGGCCTCCATTCAGGGAGCTACTGGTGACCCAGGAGGGCTTGTGTAAGGAGGACTGTCAGCTGAGCTGGAGATTCTGCGCGGGGAGGAGGCCTTTCAGGCAGATGATTTTGCCAGACGGGTGGGTGACCCTGGGACTGGCCACTGAGGTCCCTTACAATCTGGTCCTTGACACTGGGAGCACCCAAGCAGGGAGCATGCAGGGCAGGTTTGGGGCAGCAGGGTCACATGGAGTCAGATACTGTCCATACTTTGTCCATCTCTGGCCCTCAGGAGGACCTGGGAGGCAGGTGTGGCCACCTTTTCACTGAGGAGGCCCCGGGACCTGAGAGAGATAGTTCACGGTCCCACCATGTCTGAGCACAGGCATGTGGATATCGGGGCCCCCTCTCTAGCAGCTTGCTGGCCCATCCATTGCTTGGAAGACCCTCGGAGAGTGCCCTTGTGATGGGAGGTCGCAAGGGCAATAGCAATTCAGCAACAGAATTCTTCCCTTCCTGGTTTGATTCTCGGCCAGGCTGTCGGTGGAGGCTTGCGTGTTGCTAGGCTGCCGACTTGATTTCAGCAGAGCGTCCCAGCTAAGGCAGACTTGAGAGAGGATTTCTGTTCTCTTTAGGGTGAGTCGTAATCCATACTGAAGGCTGTAGTCTTTGACCGTCCTCATTGGTGGCTTCCAGTCCACTTGGCTCTCAGCAAACAAGCTTGTGCCGTCTTGTGGATCGAGGGTTGTTAACAAGCCTTCCTCCAACCCTGATGCCACTTTCTTCCTGTCCCCCAGCTTCTCTGAAGTGCCCCCATACAGACGGAGTAAGTGGGGTGCGGGGGTGCAACCCTGCTGCCCACCTTTCCGGATGGTAAACCATGTTCTGTCGGCACCACTGCCTCTTGGTCCATGTAGAGCTTCTGCAGGACACAAGGATGTGTTCCGGAAGTCCCATTCTTCGACCTGTTATCCAGTTTGTTATGATCCACCCCATCCAGGGCCTTGGCACAGTCAACACATCGCAAGTGAACATCTTTCTGGGATTCTCTGCTGTCAGCCAAAACCACTGGCATCAGCAGTGACAGGCCCTCGTGCCACATTCTCTTCTGAATCTGCTGGTGAATGTCTGGCAGCTGCCTGGCTGTGTACCGCTTCGGCCGTTTTTGAGTTCTGTCCAGATTCGGTTACCTGCCTGCGGTACTCATGGTGTTGGTTGGTAATCTCCACATTCCGTTGGGTCACCTTTCTTTGGAGCAAGCGGGCATTTCTGTGGATCTCCTCCAGGCAGTTGGCCAGGTGGTGCCTTCCAGGTCCCTGGGGGATGGATGCAGGGGTGGCCAAGCTCTGCGTCTGTTTGTGGAAACCTTTCTGTTGATGGCCCATCAGAGGCTGGAGCCTAGTGTTTTGCCAGGGCCTCTGGTCCAGCCTGGGAAACCCCTAAGGGCCAGTTCCACTCTAAGGAGGCTCTGAGCCTGAAGAGGAACCTTGGTGGTGTAATGGTTACACACTGGGCTGCTAACCACAAGGTCAGCAGTTTGAAACCACTAGCTGCTCCATGGGAGAAAGACGAGGCTTTCTGCTCCCAGAAAGAGCTGCACTCTTGGGAGCCCGCAGAGGCAGTTGTGGCCGCAGTAAAGGGTTGTTCTGAGTCCTCACCGGCTCGAGGGCAGTGAGTTTGGGGGTTTGAGTCTGAATTGACTCCGGAGCAGGAACAGCAGTAAGAGCCTAGGCAGCCCCACCCACAGGCGCCTACACAACTCTGTCCACAAGCCCACACCATCCTGACCTTCTTTTCCGGGGACTTCCCAACAACCCTGAGAGGGAAGTGTGTCCATCAGTTTGCAGGGCGAGACGGAGGCCCAGTGGGATCCTGGGACTTGCTGGTGTTCTGCCCTGGTGAATGGCAGAGCCAGGGCAGACTTGCCCTCCTGACCCCAGGCCTGCACGGCACCAGGCATGGCCGGGACCAATGACTGGTGGACACAGGGAGGTGGTCTTCCACCACCACCACCCACTCCAGGCCCCCTTTCTTGTCCACTCATCAACAGAGCAGTCTTGAAGAGGGGAGCTAAGGCAGGAAGGAATTTCAAGGTGGCTGTTTCCGGATCATCAGACTGGGCATTCCTGGAAGCATCTAGAGTCCTGGGGCAGGGTTGGCCCCGCTGGACAGGAGGGCCTTCTCAGGTACCGCTCCAGGGAAGGCACACTGACCGCTCCAGGGAAGGCACGCTGAGGCCTTCCTTCGTGGCCGTATTCCTCACGAATCTCGAGGGGCTGCCAGGCCTCCTTGAGCTTTGACCTCAGTTTCCCTAGCTGCTTAAGGCACTCTGCTCCCTGGTCTGGCTCTCTGGGCCTCTGCCTCCCCTGCCGAGGACAGAAGCCTGGCTGGGCCCTCTGCCGCCAACCCAGGTGCTCCCACTCTGCCTGGGGGAGGGAGGCCGCTCGCCAGCTGCCCCTCTCCCCACAGCACCACCCCCGGCTGCACGTGGACATCTTCGAGAAGCACCTGGTACCCTTCGGCCTAGTGCGCTTTGGCGTGGCGCCCGACCACCCCGAGGTGAAGGTGCGTTTCTCTGGACACGGGGTGGGCATTGGGTGCACCTCCGGCTGCCCCAGAAACAGCATGGGCACCACGGTCTCTGATCCACCACCTCTAATCCCCTCCCTCGGGGGTCGGGGCGCAGAATGTCATCCATACCTTCACCGAGACTGCCCGCTCTGACCGCTGTGCCTTCTGGGGCAATGTGATGGTGGGCAGGGACGTGACTGTGCCGGAGCTGCAAGGGGCCTACCATGCTGTGGTGCTGGTGAGTGGGTGCGTGGGTGGGGAGGGAGGCGGGGTGTGGCGGGCTCATATCCTGGGTCAGAGCAGCAGCAGAGGGTGGGGACTGAGCGGTGGAAGGTGACAGTAGGGAGGGGTGGGGGTCCTAGCTGCTGGACACAGCCAGGATGGAAGCTTTGGAGGAGGAAGAGGAGGAGCTGGGAGGAGGATGTGCCTGGCCCTACCCCACCAGCACTGAGGGCTCTGGGCCTGGGCTGGCCATCTCCCCCCAGAGCTACGGGGCCGAGGACCACCAGCCCCTGGGGATCCCTGGGGAGGAGCTGCCTGGCGTGTTGTCAGCGCGGGCCTTTGTAGGCTGGTACAATGGGCTTCCTGAGAACCGTGAGGTGAGTACTGAGGCGGGCCTCCTGCTGCCCCTTCCTCCCCACCCCCAGCCAGGCCAGGGGCAGTTATAGCTGCTGGGGCTGGGAGCTGGGAGCAGAGGGGCTGAGATGAAATGGGAGCCATTGGGCTGACCAGGGAGGGAGTCCATCTTGGAGGGTGGTGGAGGGGCTGAGCTGAGGCTCCCTGGGGGGGGGGGGGCTTCCTATGTGGAGAGCCAAAGGGGCTGCTGGGGAACAGCACAGGACACTGGGGTCCCGTTAGCTCCGCTGGGGCCACCCTGTCGAGACCTCTCCCTCCAGCTGGCACCGGACCTGAGCTGCGACACAGCTGTGATTCTAGGGCAAGGGAACGTGGCCCTGGATGTGGCCAGGGTTCTGCTGACCTATCCTCAGTACCTGGAGGTTAGTGACACATCAGGGCCTGGGGGGGGGGGGGGGGGGGGGCTTAGAGAGCCGTCTGTGAGCGGCACCACCCCCAGCCCCCCTGCATTCCTGCACTCCGCCACAGCCAGCATGCTCTGCTCACCACAGGGCCCTTGTGCATGTCCTCCTGCCACCATCGCTCGGGAACCACCCCCACTAGCCTTGCCCCGAGCAGCTCTCCTCCGCTTGTGTCTTAGTCCTCGCCTCAGCTGGACCTTCCTCCAGGGAACCTTCCGGGCCCTTCCGCTGCCCTGTGACCATCCCCACAGACCTGCCTCTCGCCCCCTGGCATCTCCCTGATGCAAGCAGCAGGAGAAGGCTGTGGCCGCCAGCTTCCCTAAAGTCTTAAAAACCCCATTGTCCTCCGGTTGAACCCGACTTAGATGATACCCACTGCCCACGGGGTTTCCAAGCTCACCGCTTTATGGAAGCCAATGGCGACAGCTTTCTCTCAGGCAGCAGCTGGTGGGTTTGAACTGCCAGCCTTTTGGATAGCAGCCGGGTGCTTCACCACTGTGCCACTGGGGCACAGGCCTCGCAGACCCTTTGGGGCACTTTTACTGTCTTATAGGGTCACTATTGCATAGCAGTTATGCACTGGGCTGCTAACCTCAAGGCAGTTCACAAGCACTGGCCGCTCTACAAGAGAAAGATGAAACCTGTGCTCCCATAGCGTTCGTCTCGGAAACCCTCCGGGGCAGTTCTACCTTGTCCTAGTGGGCCGCTAGGAGTTGGCATGGCTGCACGGCAAAGGCTGTATTTTGGGGGTGGTAGTTGTCCTCGCTGTCCAGTGCTATTAGAAGGATTGGCAGCAATGCTCCATCTGGTCACCAGGGGGAGCAGTGAGGCCATTTGACGGCGGTGGCGGCGCAGGCGGCATCCTCTCCTTTGGGTTTGACCGCTTAGGGACTCCCTTCCCTTACCCCTGGTCAGTGTCCAGTGGCTTCAAGGCCCTCCTTTTGTGCCAGCAAACAGACATCACAGAGGCCTCCCTGGGGGCACTGCGGCAGAGCCAGGTGAAGATGGTGTGGATAGTTGGCCGGCGTGGACCACTGCAAGTGGCCTTCACCATTAAGGTGCTGGGGGTGAAGGAAGCAGCCCAGATCCCAAGGAGATGGGCTCCCCTGGCTGGGGTGGGGTGGGGGGTGCAGGGCAGAGCCTCTGGGAATAGCTGCTCCCTCTGGTGGGCGATGGCGAGCCAGGCAGATGGGGGTGGGGCGGACTCCAGTGGGCAGCGCTCTGGGTCTGACCTCATCCCCACCCCACCCAAGGAGCTGCGGGAAATGGTTCATTTACCCGGAAGCCGGCCTATTTTGGAACCTGCGGATTTCTTGGGCCTCCAGGACAGAATCAAGGGTGAGGGGCCCTGGTCTGGCCCCCCAGCTCACGAGGGAGGGGATGGTCTCGGCCAGAGAGGGGGTGGAGACCCAGGGGACCACCCGGATGTGCTCTGCACTGCCGACAGATGCCCCCCGGCCGAGGCGGCGGCTGACGGAACTGCTGCTCCGAACGGCCACTGAGATGCCAGGCCTGGAGGAGGCAGCCCACTGGGCATCCGCCCCCCGTGCCTGGGGGCTCCGCTTTTTCCGAAGTCCCCAGCAGGTGCTGCCCTCACCAGATGGGCAGCGGACAGCGGGCATCCGGTTGGCAGTCACCAAACTGGAGGTGAGCCTCGTGTGAGTGAAGTCCAGGCCCCACCTGTGTGGGCCACCCCTATCCCAGCCCTTCGCTGCCCACTTTCCCCCAACAGGGTGTTGGCGAAGCTGCCCGGGCAGTGCCCACGGGAGACGTGGAGGACCTGCCCTGTGGGTTGGTGGTGAGCAGCGTGGGGTACAAGAGCCGCCCCATCGACCCCAGCATACCCTTTGACCCCAGACGCGGAATCATCCCCAATAAGGAGGGCCGGGTTGTGGGTGTGCCAGGTGAGAGGGAGGGACGAGGCTGGACATTGATTTATGGGCTTGGTGGTGGTGGGGGCTGTTGTCTCCTGGAACTCATTCATTCACTCATTCGGTTGTTCATTCAATGGTATACCCTGGAAATGAGTCTACCCCTGTCCTCCCTCTTCCTCACCCCAGGGAATGCTCCCAGTCCAGCTGAGATGACCGCCTATACATGGTCATCAAGCCATTCAACAGACATTGCCTGAAGCCTGCTCTAGGCTGGGCTCCGGGCAGGGGGTTAAGGTTGGCTAGGCAACACTTGTGACTTAAACAACCCGGGTCCATGTCTAGGCCTTGGGGTCTGCCAGAACTAGCCATGGGCACTCTGAACCTCTCAAAAGCCCCAGACCAAACAGCACCAACACTGCCATCCTGCCCAGTCAGCTCCTGGGGACATGATGGGGCAGAGCAGGACAGCTCCCTAGGGTCTCTACAGCTGTAATCCCCACAGGAGCTGGCTGCCACGTCTTTCTCTGAAGCAGTGGCCGCTAGGTTCAAACCTCGGACCTTTTGGTTAGTAGCAGAGTTCCTGAAAAGGAGCCTGGCTGCGTAGTGGCTATGCGTTGGGGTGCAAGGTCACCAGTTCAAGACTCGGGGGCTCCACAGGAGAAAGACGGGGCTTTCTCCTCCTGTCGAGAGTTAGTCTCGGAAACCCTGTCGTACAGGGTCACTATGAGTCAACATCGACTGGATGGCAGTGAGTTTGGTTAGGGTTAAAGTGCTTTAACCACTGCATCACCAAAACTCTAATAAGACCGGAGAGGCAGGCAGGGAGCAAACAAGCTGAAAGCCTCTTGGAAGGTGGCCCAACAGCCACAGTGGGCCTAGGACTTTGGGGAGGACCTGGGGGGGGGGCAGGTATGGTCACATGTGCATGTACTGGGGTGCAGGCTTGCCAGGAACGTCCCCAGCACCCCCTTTCCTTTGTTTTCCCTCAGGCCTCTACTGCAGCGGCTGGGTGAAGCGGGGACCCACAGGTGTCATCGGCACGACCATGAACGACAGTTTCCTCACTGGTCAGGCGCTGATACAGGACCTTCAGGGGGGGCTGCTGCCCTCGGGACCCCGGCCTGGCTACACCACCATTGAAGCTCTGCTTGGCAGCCGAGGTCAGGCCCCAGGCCCTTCCCTCCTTTGTGGATGAGTGCCTGGGCCGGCCTGGAGGCGGGAGGGAGAGGGGGTGCCATTGCTGTGTCCCTTCTGCCACAGGGGTCCAGCCCGTCTCCTTCTCCGACTGGGAGAAGCTGGATGCCGAGGAGGTATCGCGGGGCCAGCACGCAGGGAAGCCCCGGGAGAAGCTGACAGACCCTCAGGAGATGCTGCGGCTGCTGGGGCGCTGAGCCCAGCCCTAGGCCCCTTGGGGGAGGGGCCCAGGGCACCGGAGCAGGGTGGCGCCTGACACAGGGGTCCCTTGTTCGTCCAGAGGCCTCAACTCTTCCTCCAGTGAGGTTGACCTTCCCCAGTGGGCTTAGCTCTCTATACGAGGCCACTCGCGTGTGGAATGGGCAGGCTGACCTTACTTCCTCCCGCCTCTCCTGCTGGACTGTAGGGGGTCACTGAGGCTAAATCAAGTTTAGAAAATAAACTTCCGCCAGCAGGGGCTGTGGGTCCGGTGTGATTTCTTTGCCCCCCCCCATTCCCCAAGCAGGTCACCTTCTGACTACAGCTCCCCTCTGGTCGACAGGTGGCGCTGCAGAGCCAGCTCCCTGCTCCCGGCCTCTTTGGGGGCCTGAGGGGGTTTGGCAGCCAGGCCTGGCACCCACCCTCCCTTCTCTGCTTGACCCTGCTGCTTTTGTGGCCGGCCGGTCTGCCTGCCTGCCTTCTGTCCACACTGTGGGCAGCCCTGGGGGGACCCCAGCCTGCCTGTTGATGGCCCC